TCAAGTTTTTTTTCATTTAAATATTAGTCCTTATAATTCAATAAAAACGTAAACCATCTTGCCCATTAAATGACTAAAACCTTAGTTTGAAACTTGAAAACTAAAACTAAAATGAAAACACACTTGAGTTACTAAAAATTACATTAGCCCAAAAATTTAAACTCGCATTATTTCATAGTATATATTGAGACGTCACTTGTTTAGATCAAATTTAAAACTTATTGATGATGATGATGATACTGAATGTTGATTATTAAGCTTCTGGTGCCCAACAACGAGGGAGAGACGCCTTGTTCTTGGCTGCTGTTCATGGTCACCCGGCGGCCTTCCTCCTTCTCTATGGTCATGCAGAACGTGAGCATGCCACAGCTCCTTACGTGAAGCCCAATGGGGAATCTGCACTTCACTTAACCATTCAGCGAAAGTATTTCGGTCTGTGATTTTACTTATTTTAAAAATAAGTTAGTTAATTAGGTCTTCTACTCCCTTCACTTTAAAATGTAAATTACTTTTTAGAAAATTTGTTTAATCCATGGTATAAATTATTTTGAGAATAATGAATACTTATTTGCTAATTTTATCCCTTTAATTAATGCTTAAATATGACTCCTCATATTTTTCTCTCTTTCTTTCAAATCCTTAATATGGGTTGGGGGGGGTGGGAATTTCAATTGAAGACGGGTTTAATTACAAGTTATTTTTTCTTCCATAGTTCTAATGATGATGATATGGTTAAAAATGACTAATATATTTGGACTAGAGGTATTGTTTGTTTAGGATCGAATGGAATGGAATAATACGTTATTCAAAATTACATTCTATGATGGTTTGGTTAGTTAATGGAATCCTTTGCTTGATAAAGAGTACTGAAGTATATACTACTTCCAATTTTAACATAAGAATTAGTTAAAAAACTAATTGAGTCATAAATATAAGACCTAAATTAATTTTTTTAATATTTATCTATTTTGCTTTTGAGTGATTTTTATGGTGATTGCACATGTTGAGGAGTTACTATAGTAATTCAAGTACCCGTGATTAACAAGGTTCTGTCAAGAAAAATAACATATATTTATTTCAAATGACTAATTTAATTGATTTTCTTAATATTCATAAATTAGTTAGTTATCTAGCTTTTTATATAGTAATATAGTACCTCTGATGCTAAATATAAGAGCTAATTGACTAGTTTGATGAGTAGATTAAGGAAATAAGTTAAATTAGTTATTTATAATAAGTAGGTACTGTTTTTTCTAAAATATCCTTACTAATCAAGTGTATTGGCTGGATAAAAAATGTATAAATATGAGAGACAAAGTAGATTGAAGTCTTATATTTAAGATCAAAATAAAAGTCAAACTAGATTTTATATTAAGAACCAGAGACAGTAATGAATTGAATTGATCATTAATGCAGAATTATCATTACTATTAATGCATCTCCTCCCCGACATGGTTTCCATCATCGATGAAAAGGGCAGGCACCTCTGGACATCCTGGCCTCTATCCCTTAGTTTGTGGGAGAGTCTTCTCTACCGCCGTAAGTGCGCCCACCTCCATCAATCCATCTGGAATTTTAATTAATTTTCTTTTTTTATTTAGTTTTATTCTTATTAATTAATTACTATCTTTGATCCCTAATATTAGAGTTACTTAACTAATTGAGTTGATGAAAAAAATATTTAAGTTAATTTTTGTAACAAATATAAGTTATTTTTTTAAAGTATTCTTTTTAATATAATCATGACTATCTTTGAATAAAAATCTTTTGATATGTGTAATTAATATGAATATTTTAAAAAATGAACTAAATTAAAGTGAATTGAGGTTAGGATTGCTTGGGTCATAATTTTCGATCCCACCTTCTCTCCTCATGCGAAGTCATATCTGATGTGTCTGCTCATTCAGAGAGAGAGAGAGATTATATATATATATATATATATATTTGCCAATTGGATACAGCAATGGCTAACAAGGATAAAATTTCTAAAAGGCGTTTTTAATTTTTTGAGTGGAAAAATTTATAAAAGGAGTCAATGTTAACATTTTTAAGTCAGTTAAATATTTAGAAATTGAGTCGTACTCAATCATAATTAAATCACTGGCCATGACTGACTTAAAAGTTAAGCAGCCGAGAAGATTAATTTTTCTTAATTAAAATGACGTTGCTGACGTATACGTAACGATCATACTTCTATTTCCGAAGTCATCCCGATTCGTCCCCGGCGTTCGTATAGGGAGCAAGAGCCTGATCAGCTTCCCACCCACGAAGCTCTTTTAGGATTCGCCTCTTTCATGAGTGCCACAGGTAATTAATTATTAGTTTTAATGCTTAATTAGATCTTTTCATTTACCAATATTCGACTCCTTATTATAAGTTGCTTATAGAAGAAATATTTTTAGTTCTTTTTTTTTGTTGTTCATCATATTATTTTAGTTCGAAACATAAGTACATTTAGAGGGTTATTACTTAAAATAATTATTTTTTCAATCTTACTCTTATTTAATTATCATTGGAAAGAAAGAAAGAAAGGAAGAAGATTCAGAGTTAAAATTATATGTACATACAGGGAAGAATTTTAATAAGAAAACTTGAAATTATTAATCAATTGAGACATATTTAGTTATAATTTAACTATATGTGAAAATTAGTTAAAAAGGATCTACATATGGTAAGTAGGAGGGCTTGTTTGGAATCATGATCATAAGTACTTTTAATCACGTTTTATGTAAATCAAAATAAAACTCCTCGTACATACTCACCTCGTATTTTATAAATCACGATTAAAAAGTGGCTCAAAAGCTTAATATGTCTGTCTATGGTTGGCAGAGAAGAAAAGAAGACATGTATTTGGTTCGCTGATCATGAAACAACTGGTAAACGATGACGCTTTTTATGATAATTTGATGGAGATGGACGACGATCATCCGGCGAACATAGCAATGCTGCGTCCTTCACATAAAGGTAGTTGGATCTTAAAAAAATTTTAAAAAATGACTTTCTTTAATTATTTTTATTATTTTTATTTATATGTGGGTAACTGATCATAAGTATGCATGCGCATGCAGCATCAGTATTAGGATGGACACCATTGTTGAGAGCAACAAAATATGGTGCGATCGAAATGGTGTGGGCAATCTTGGGAAAAAAGCCGTTTGCAATTGAGGATGAAACTGATGAGAAGAAGAATGTGAGACAGTCCACCCTATTGAAGCAATTCATGAAGAAGCCATCCATCTGGAATCGGAAGCTCCACCATGCATCCGACGTCCATGGCAATACTGCGCCTTGCACTTGGTCGCCAAGCTTTGTCGTCATAGCCTTATACCTATGTCTGCCATTCACTTGCAATGGGAAATCCGCTGGTTTGAGGTGTGTGGGTGTGTGTGTGATCACTTAGCTTAATTAATACGAGTAATTTCTAGCTATCATTCAACTGTACATGCGTATGTATTTATGTATGCAGTATGTGAAGGATATGATGCCGCCGGAGTTCAGTAAACGGAAAATAAGGAAGGCAAAACGCCATGGATGGTCTTCGTGGAGGAACACCATGATCTGGTGCAAAAAAGTAACAAATGGGTGAAGGAAATATCCGGAAATTACATAGTGGCGGCGACGCTTATTTCCGGCGTTACCTTTGCAACGTGCTACCAGATCCCGGGAGGCTACGACGGAGGCAACGGCAGGCCGATTGTAGGCAACCGTTATGAATTCGACATGTTTGCTATCACGGCACTGGTTTCCTTTTGCTCCTCCGTCACTTCCCTCGCCGCCTTTCTTTCCATTTACGGCTCTCAAAGTGATCGGCCCGACATGTACTGGAGATTTCTGCCGTGGTCCCTGTGCTTGGGTTTAGCTTCTCTGTTTCTCTCAGTTGTGTCTATGTTGATTTCTTTCTGTGCTGCGCATACCTTTGAACTTTTTGGCCCCATAAACAAGTCATCTGCGTATGTCCCCTTGTACGTTGGCCTCGCTTTCATCCCTCTCTACTGTTACGCGATAACTCAAATTCCACTCTATTGTCGTCTTCTCGAGGCTAGTTTTTCTCCTATGCCAATCCCGAGGCCATTCTATGTGGAACCGTTAGAAGAAACGCCACGAGATGAAGAGGAGAAGAACAAGAAGAAGAAAGATAAAGACGAAGGGAAGAACAAGAAGAAACATGAAGACGCAGAGGCATCGGAAGAGTAGTTTAAGTAGTTTTTATGCTTTCTTTGCAAAATAAAGAGAATTTTATTAGGAAAAATCATAAAAAAATGATTGTTGAATTTTAAAATTTCAAATCAGTATTAGTTACTACATTCGTAAAAACATAACTACATTTGAAAAGTAAATGATGACATATTTTTATGATAATTCTTAATTTAAAATTTTAAAATTCAACAATCACTTTTTTTGGAATTTTCCCATTTTATTATGTGAAACATTAGGATTTGATTTTTTACAAATAACTTTATTTTGTTTTAGATGAAAATAAAACTTTGCTAATGGTTTTTTGTGGGCTCTACAAATGTATCCAATTTCACCAACTCAGGTGATAAATCCCAAACTCATTATGTCTCAACTGTCTAGATTAAAAAAAATTTAATTAATTATTTTAAAATAAAAATTATTTTTTTAAAAAAAAATAATTAAAAATTATTTTTATTTTAGATGAAAACAAAATCAAATATAAACCATCCAAATCATCTTTGAACAGTCCAAATATAACAAGCTTGTATATTCACCGTTTCCTCTTTTCACCACACCAAGGCATGCATGTGGTTCACGTCCTGGTTCTGGTCCTCATTGATTAATTTTGGACTTTGATTTTAGAGCCACCACACACCCTTCGCATCTTTTATACGATAATAAAAAATAATCAACTTAACTAATTTTTTTTAACTTTCATGAATTAGTTAACTAGGATTAATATTGAGGACAAGAGGGTCATTGTCTTTTTTAAATGTTCTGACTTATTCAGTATAAAATCGATGAATTTAGAATTTACTCCTCATTATTTTATCAACATTTATAATATTAAAATATGTAATAAATGTATCTATGAATTACGTACCATGCAGCAGGCTTGATAAAGTTCACACTGGTTTTGTTCATGAAAATTATTAAAGAGCTTTTGTCAAAGGTAGGTCAATTATATTGCCCCATAACATCATAATTAGTCAGGATGATGTGAAATTATACAAAAGTATCATTCTATGTATGACATGTATTATGCTCTTCCACATTATTAATATAAAAACTATTTAACTAATTTAAAGAAATTAATTAAGAAAATTAAATAAATGAATTAACTGTGACAAATTTGACATGATCTTACTAAAATATGCATATATGATATGACATTATATATCATTTTATAAGTTAAGTAAATTAGTTTAGAAAAAATAAAATAATAAATATGAGAGATTAAGTAAATCAAGATCTTATATTTAAAACCAAATTAAACCATCAATGCTCTTATATTAGGGATATGAGGGAGCTAGTATAACTTTTTACGAGTGATAAATATTATTAGTGGAGTTAACTAAAATTATTTAGTTCATGAAGCAAGTCAAAAAATTTCTTAAATTGGAATTGACAGTACGAGTAAGCTTGCCCTGGCTAGATTTGGCTATATCATCATCCTCTCCACCTCCTTGTGGTGTTATTTGCTATAGACAAGTAGATCCAACATAATAACTCCAGTCTTTAATATAAAAATTAGTTGATTAATTTAAATAGTTAAAAAATTAGTTAAATTAGTTATTTGTAGTAAATAGATATTATATTTTTTAAAGTATTCTTACTAATCAAGTAAATTGAATAGAACTGTCATTATTACAATGATTACTTTGAAAAAAATGAATAAATATAAGAGGCAAAATGAATTAGGTTTTATATTTATGACTAAAATAAAAGTTAAACGAGCTCTTACATTGAGGACCAAAGGTAGTATTTAATTAAATAGGACCTTGTTCCATTTAAGTTAATTATTTAATACATTTTATATAATTTATACATAAATCTATCTGTGAAATTGAAAAAAGAAGAAAATCAAATCCGAAACATGAAACACGAAAAAGTGAATGAAGGGATGATGATTCTAAACGAAGAAACTAATTGTCTTTCCCTTTCTCTGCTTTTTTTTTTTTTAAGGGAATTATTTTTTGCCCCCTTGTTGGCTTGTCTTCAATGGATGATGCGATATAAATGAAGAATATCGATGGACCAAATTCCAAGCAAGTAACAAAGACAAAAAGAAGAGTAGGAAGCATCTGTGCTTTCGAATTAATTCGCCTGGAATTTTTGTTAATATATATGGCACAATAAAAATTCAAATACAAACTAGTTAATTCCGCTTTCCTCTGGCTTTCCCTCATATATACACGAAAGTTTATAAATAATATATAAGGATTATATATTTCTATTACATATTCTAATATGTAATTGTACATTGACCATTTGAATAGAAGATTTGGAAATGTCACCAAACTTTATGTAATTATGTTTTTACTGATGTAATTGATTATTTGATCAAAGCATGGTGATAATATGGTATGTATTATGCCCACACACTTTATTTTCGTTTAATCATATCACAAAATTTTGAATATAGTTAACCTTTTTTTTTTTACCAGAGAATATATTTAACTTAAAACTTTCATGCTTAATCGAATATAATATTTATGCTGATCGTGCATGCATGTATATATTCAAACCAGAAAGGATATGTGCATATTTAATCTGGGACTCCTCTATTGTGCCTCCAATGATCCCTGATGTGAATGTTATAATACTAACATGATTTTTAATATAAAAGCTAGTTGACTAATTTGAATAAATTAAAAAATTTTGTTAAGTTAGTTATTTATAATAAATAGGTGTTGTCTTTTCTAAAATACCCTTACTAGTCATGTGTATTAGCTAAAACTACTATTTGATGAAATATTTAATATGAGCAACTACTACAAAGACTACCTTAAAAAAATAGATAAATATAAGAGACAAAGTGAATTGGGATCTTATATTTAAGACCAAATTAAAAATTAAACTAGCTCTTATATTAAAGACTAGAAGTAGTATTACCTCCAGTCCTTATTTAAAAAAAAAAAAAACTAGTTAACTAATTTGATTATAGGGAAAATTAATCTTTTGGTCCTTATAGTTTTCACTCATTTGTAACTCAGTCCCTATACTTTGACTCGGTGCAACTCAGTTCCTCTAGTTTTGACTCGATTGTAACTCAATCCCTAAAGTTTGACTCGCTGCAACTCGGTCCTTATACTTTTAACCATTTTATAATTTAGTCCCTCCTTTTATTAGATATATAATTTTATTTCTCAAAAACACAACTAAACTATGAAATAGACAAAACTATAGGGACCAAGTTGCAGCAAGTCAAACTTCAGGGACTGAGTCACAACCGAGTCAAAACTAGAGGGACTGAGTTACACCAAGTCAAAGTATAGGGACTGAGTTACAAATGAGTGAAAACTATAGGGACTAAAAGATTAATTTTCCCATGATTATATTATAAAAACTAGTTAAGTCAGTTATTTGTAATAAATAGATACTGTCTTTTCAAAAATATCCTTACTAATTAAGTGTATTGGCTATAACTACTATTATTATAAGTATTATTTTGAAAAAAATGATTAAATATGAGTTGGGGTTTTATATTTAGGATCAAAATAAAAGTTAAGTGAAATCTTATATTAAGAACAGAAGGAAGTAATTTCTATGCAATCATAGTGTCATAAGATTTGCAATGATTAACATTTTGTGGAGGATTATTTCAGGAAAAATGATTAAAAAAAAGTACTTGTTGAATTTCAAAATAATAAATAAGTGATTTTGATAGATTTTAACTTATCAAAACTATCACAATACATTATAAAAGCTATGAGCATAACCTATTTATCTTTTTGAAATTTAATATACTCATTTGGTCTTATTTATAGGACAGAGAGAGAAAATTTTTTTGGTCATATTTATAAGTTATTTTATTAAATTTTTATCATGAATGTACTATATTGTCCTTCATTTATTATAGTGGAGGTAGTTATTTTTTTTTTAAATGTATATATATTAAATAGGGGTAAAGTTGGAAAGTTGTTATATTTTAATGAAGAGTTGATGTAATTCAAAGTTTTTCTTGATCTATATGAAATATGTTAAAAGTGTCTTATAGGCAAGAGTATACTTTTTTTTTTTTGGGTTATTTTCCCATTATGTTATCGTCTTGATTCTCTCGCCAATTTATAGTTGAACATACGTGTCTTATCTAAAAAGCTAAAGTATTCATTTGGTCCCTTAACTTTATGCAATGTTTCAGTTTAATCCCTTAACTTTGAAAAGTATACTCTTAATCCTTTAACTTTAAAATTATTCGTCTAAAATGATGATTTTTTATAACAATCATGATTGTTTTGAAAATTAAATTTAATATATTAGTATTTAGTAATATTGTATCAATATTTAAGAGCCCAATATCATTGTTTTGTGTTAACAATTTCAGGGTTAAATGACTAAAAGTTTACTTTTTAAAGTTAAAGGATTAAAATGAAACTTTATATAAAATTAAAAGACTAAAATTATATTTTAGCCTATGTAAAATTACAAACTGAGTCCAGTCCTATTATTTAAATTTTTGTTTCTTCAATTAGCCGGACCCTCTCTCTTTCCTTTTAGACAATATGATTTCACAAATTAACGTACAATGTCAAGTAATACTTCCTCTAATTTTTTTAATAAGAAAGAATCTCTCTCATCATGATTTTTGAGTAACAAATTTTTTGTCTGAAATTTTAAATTAATATTTTCATTTTACCCTCATTAAATATATATACACACTTTACTTATTATCCCTCTGCAATAAATTACTCTTATTTATGCTTATTATCTCTTTATAATAAATATTAGCTCATGAGCATCTTTGATGTCCTTTACTCTCTTCATTAGTAAGGGGAAAATTACTGTACATATCTTGCATATTTATTGTTTTTAATTAAATTTAATTAATATTTCGAATCATACGTTTTTGATAATTATTT